ATTCCTGGAACCCTGAAATCTGCCTGCCTGCCTATCGTAGCAGCCCCAAATCGCCTTCAGCTGTTCGCACCCCAGCCACGATCAAAACCGTAAGTCAAGGTTAGTAGGGGACAAATGTAAACAGGTGTTGGGTACGGCCGCCTTTTATGTCTTGAAACATGGTTGTGTGTAGACGGTAGACCCGTTTGCCCGGTTTTGATTGTGACTAACCTCTTGGCCAATGGGCGAAATCCTGCACCACCCGAGAAAGCCTGGAATGATGACTCCCCTGTAAATTCCAAACAATGGTTTCCCTGGTTTCGTTGCGTGGTGCGGTTGGTGGATTTCGCGTCGCCATCCACTGTACCTGGAGTCTCCATGACCCTTTAAAAATGGGGTCAGTACCGGAAAAAAAAAAGGGTCACGGACCCATTTTTAAAGGGTCATGGAGACTCCAGGTAGCTTTCAGCTGTTGCTTGGCAACCTGAAAAAGCACCTCTCGGGCAACGAGGCCACTAGCCCAGCGCAAGGTTTCAACGACTTCCCGCGGCCGAGTGTTTTCGACTGCGCGGCGGCCAGTCGATCTCGTCCTTGGACCATCGGTCGAGAAGGACAGTTGGCGCCCGCAGAGAGAGCTCGGCAGAGCCAAGAAGCAAGCAGACATGACCAGGCCCTGGTTTGGGGAAAGCTGTGGTGTTAGCATCCTAGGATAAGGATGCTCCGAGCCGTTCAAGAAGAACCCAAGCTAGGTCCCCCAGCTAGGTGCCCTTTCTCCTCTTTGGGGGAGGGCGAACCCCACTAAAATAGAACTATACAGAACAACATGGTGCTCTTATTCTAACCTCTACTGGAGGACCCAGGCAAAGAAAGGAACCCACGAGCGGGGAAGCAAGCAAAAGAAAAGCAAAAAGCAAAGGAAGGACAGCGAAGCAGAGCGAGCAAAGAAATCAAGAACGCAAAGTGAGCAGGCAGGAGTAACGAAGAAGCACAACGAGCAAACATTAAAGCAAGCTATACTCTCCAAAGTCCAGCATGTTTGATGTTTGTCACATGCGTCATCGGCACACACTACCATTTAAACTTGTGCTTTAATTTAAGGTACCCTTGTCAGCCTACCTTTTACACCAAGAGGAACACCAGGTCGGTTTGCCCAATTTGGCCAACTTACCCATTTCATGGTTGGGGGTGGAGTCCCATTCAACAAGGTTCTTGGCCCGCGGCGAAGAGAAAGCGGCGGCATGGAGAACGAGCAAAGCTCCGATGGCTCGCTGGACCTGTTTTTTGGGGTCAGAGCTGCACCGTGCAGAGACCGGCGAAAAAAGAGAGAAGCCGCCGCCGCCCCAAGTTCACTGAGGTGGCGGACGCTGTTGGCAATAGGGGTTCTCAAACTGGTGGCATTGCTTGGTTTCCAAGGGAAACCGTTGAACAGGAAACCAGCCATTGGAAGGAACTCCTATTTTGAGAAACACTCAGAGCTATAATTTCGGTGGATTCCGCAACATTAAATAAGGAAGCAGAAGCAAGCAAATTATTTACTTCTAGAAAGGGAGCCTTTCGTAGCGGTGAGAGCTTTCTCGGGTGGAGAGGCTGTTTTCGGTTTTCTGGAAGGTTGACACCATCCAAGTTGCTAGCTGGAGTAAGGTGTGTTTCGCAATCAGGGACCCTACAACTGCTCAAAACCCTTCCCCAATTGAAGGCTCATTAAGCCCAAAACAAACAAAAAGACGTGAGCTTACTGGCTTGGCGGGGTCTTAGGGGGTCTTGGAGGCCCCTTCAAAATGGTTGGGAGGTGATGGGAGGGGATTTCGACCTCTGGAGATCTCAACCTTCGGCAACCCATTTTCCCTATGACAAAGACTAGGTGACTGGAACGGGGGGACCAAAAAACGACACAGAGCTGTTGTATGGCTTTTCATCATCGACCCTTCGGAAACCAGCCCCTGGAAGTTTGTAAGCAGCCTGCCGCATTCGCCTGCCGCATTCTGAAGGGGGTACCAAAGCCCCGATGTGTTTGACATGTTTATCTTTAGGCTGCAAATGTTCAAGCAAAAAGTGCTTTGCTGGAAGTTGAGCCGATCGTCACTGGTTCAAACTGCAGCTGGTTGCAATTCATGTGGGCCGAACACCAAGCATTCGGACAGCCACTGACAAGCAGTGCCACAGAAAAAGAAAACACACAGATGCGGCCTTTTCTGAGACAACAGTTTCACCTCGATTCAAATTACCCAATCACCCTGAACATCTGACCTATGTGCTTCAAACAATCTATTGAAGCACCTGGACATCAAAATTCAAAGTTAAACACACGCAAATTACGACCCAACATTTCGGAGTTAATGAGATCCAGCCATCCGCTTAGCTTTTTAGCTTTTTAGCTTTTTAGCTTTTTAGCTTTTTAGCATTTTAGCATTTTAGTGTTTAGTGGGGTTTTCCGTTTAGCGCAGGGGGATCTAAGGACAGCTCAGGTTTGAGGGTCGACGCGCATTTCACCGGGTGTTTTCTGACAAAGATCTCGCCGCAATGGAGCTTTGATCGCGTCGAACCCCGGAGCTTGGCAGCCGGCTCAGAGGTGTGTGTTGAATCTCTCCCTTGCTAGGTCCCCCAGGTGCCCTTTCTCACTGTAACTATTTTGGTTGGGAGGGCGAAGCCTACTAAAATGGACTGCAGAAAAAAAATGGTACCCTTTTATTCTAACTTTGGGTTTCCTCGTCCTCCACGAAAAAATGTCACTCCCTGAGTGCATTGGCTTGGACCAATTTTGTAGTAAATAAACAGTTTGGTGACCTTTTTCTGGCCATTCAACTGAGGACGTCAGAAAAAGAGGAACCCCCTCCAAGAAAAGGCAAAGAGCCACTACCCTTGGCATGGTTTTGCAGTTTGTTGCTGTTCAGTTTTAAGTTCGTTTGTTGGGCTGCAAGTTGCAAAGTTGTGACCAGGCTCGGGTTTGGGGAAAGCTGTGTTGTGAGCATCCTAAGGATGCTCCGAGCCGTTCAATCAGAAGAACCCAAGCTAGGTCCCCCAGCTAGGTGCCCTTTCTCCTCCCTTTTTTGGTTGGGAGGGTTCCCCTATTAAAATAAACGACTGAAAGAAAGTGGTACCCTTGTTCCAACCTTTCGACTGGAGGACCTAGCAAGTGCAGAAACATTTGGCTTACTTTGGTGTTCCTTCCACTGTGGATGGTTGCAAAATCCATTTCGCACCACGAAATAAAACCATGTTAACGAAAAAGAAGAAACACAGTACACAGTTCTTTAATACTTGTTTTTAGTAATAGCTATTGAGATACAATATAATTGTCAAAAGAGGGGATTTTCAATTTTAAATACTATCAAAAAGGCAATGTGGGTGTGTCTTTTTTGGGGTGACCCTCCAAGATGGCTTCTGGTTTCCTTTGGGTTTCCCTTTAAAACCCATCAACAAAACAAGTATCTGGAGTCTCCTTCTGACTCTTAGAACATGGGGTCATGACCAACCTAAGTTTTTTGGGTATCAACCAACCATTTTTTCAAGGGTCAGATCCGGAGACTCCAGGTACCAAAACTTGGTGGCTCCCAGCCATCCGGTTCCTTAGCTTTCTAGCTAGCCCACTAAAAGTGAGTCACTTGAGCCACAATCAAAACCTAGGTAGATGAAGGTTAGTAAGGGACGATCCCAGCCATAAATAGCTGCGGATATCCGCCTTCTTAATTCTTGAAGCATGGTTCTGGGTTGACCTTTTTTGTACCGATCGGTTTTGATTGTGACTCACTTGTAGCGGGGAAAGCCTTCGGCAGATGCTCTGTGAATCCAATTGGCTCACTGTGCCCTAACCTTCCCCAGAATTAGCTCCCCTTTTCCTTTTTTGCTTTTTTGGGATCCCTTTGTTTTCCACTAACCAGGCAAAAAAGATATTTTTTTGCTGGGGTCCGATTTTTCCAGCCTAGTAACAACACCTGCATGTGTCAAGGTCGCGTCGGCTGTCACGGAACATGTCCTCTTGAAGATTAGTTTAAGATGACTCTCGGTGCATGTTTCGTTTTGGGTATGTGGTATGTAGTGGTGAACATTGTTGGATATCTAACCATGTTAGTGTATTGAAGTCCAAAACGTAGTTTTGAAGCCTCACTTTGGGCGAAATGTTTAAGGCAAACCACCAAAGAGGAACCCTGCAAAAAAGTGATCCAGGTACATGTAGAAGGAAGCTCGGGGCTTGTCTTAAGGGTACACAGCTCCTTTTTTGTGATGGCAAGACACATGACATCCCCAGGAAAAAAAAAAACTGGAGACACTTGCCGCGGAGATGTGATTCTTCATGGGTTTTGAGTACACGACGTCTTCAACCACTCTTTTCAGCCCCCATGTTTGGACAGCAAGGTAGCCTGAAATATGGAGGTGTTTGGCACCCAATGGCATTCAGCGAAGCTTGGAGTATTCTCACAAGGGAACACAGTTTTGGAGGAAAACATCATGTTCAGTGCTGTACATGGTACCAAGGAAGTCAACAACTGCACCTGGCTTGTTTGGATAAATCCAATGGCAATTAGTGGCACACGACGGATATTGACAGTGGTTTGTATAAATTCAGAAACCAGTTGTGCTGTGTACAATTTGCGCATCCCACATAGGCACCCTTTTCTGGCCGTTGTCATGATGTGTTGCCCTCGAAGGGGTCCGTTGACCCTTGCCGAGCATTGCAGCCAGGCTCAGACATGAAGGAGAGGAGGTCATACAGTAGAATGGGGCATCCCCTTCTCATAGTTTCCTGTTGCGTTTCAATCCAGCCTACTGGTTTGACCAATACGCTTGAGCCACCCCCCACTTAAACTACCAAAGCTTCGAACACCCTCCTTGTGAGTTTCCTCAGGATGGGGTGTGAATGTTGGGCCAAAATTCGGCTGGGGGTTAATCAATATCCCCGCCCCAAATGACCAAGGGTAGCTTTTTCCATGTTGGGAAATACCAATCGAACATTCACGCCCGATGCTCTTTGCCGGCGGCGCAGCGCCAAGCGCGCCATGCGCGCCAAGCGCGCCATGCGCGCCATGCGCGCGGACGTCAGGCGCGCGACCCGTTTTTTTGTTTGTTTTTGTTTTTTTTTTGTTTAATTTGTGTGTGTGTGTTGTTTCTTTAAACAAATCATAAAACAGAAGCAACGTATTCTTGCCTGGGCCCTCAAGGGAGCGGAGACTCACTTGGCGGCCGGTTGGTCTGCGGTTTTTGGGTTGAGTTTGGTGGATTTGCCTACGTTTGAGTTTGTTTTGTTGAGTTTTTGGTTGAGTTTTTGGTTGAGTTTTTGGTTGAGTTTTTGGTTGAGTTTTTGGTTGAGCTAGGTTTATCAGTGCCGTTTTACCCGGAGGGGTTCCCTACTAAAATGGACAGGGGAAAAAGTGGGTTCCCTTGAAACCCCTCTCTACTGGAGGGGTTTCTATTCAACCCACAAGTTGAGCAACTTTTAGTAGGGGACCCGAAAACGGACAGCCCGGCACAGGAGACACACCTCCCCAAATGGTCGGGTTGCCAGCGTCAGGGAGTGCATGGGGGATCTGGTGGCAAAGCTGAGCGCTAGCTCTTGCACCATCTGAGGTTTTACTGGTTTTCTTGGAAGATTCAGGCATTCAAGCTTGGAGTATGTTTCAGTGAGTGGTTTGTGCTCCCAAGCTGGTTCCGAGCTTCTTTTTGTGCGCGGAGGCTACTTGTGTCCGTATCTTTTGGAACATGGTCTCAATTGATCCCCATTAGTGATTTCATCAACTTGATTCCTTCATTCCTAGCAGGGGGCTGTTCCTGTGTGAAATTGGCGTTACATTTCCTTACGAAAATGTTACTTTCCCCCTGTTGGTTTTGCAGTTGGAATTCACTACAGGACATACTGTGGATGGATGAACACCTGCACCACCTAAGAAACCCTGGAATGATGTTTTCCCTATAAATACCAACCAACAATGGGCTTCGCATGGTCTCAAAGTGGTGCAGGATTTCGTCCATCCGCAGTCTGTATATCATTTCCAGAGGACTGACGCAAACTGCAGGGTTGGATGTTGGTCTTGCATAAGCTGTGAGGAGCTTGGGGCAGGGGTCCTTCCGATTCCAAGTGTTCCTTCATTTGCAGATGCCTCAAGTTGTTGACATGCCGCAAAAGAAATGGGTTCCCTTTGGTGTTCCTTAGAAAGACAACGACAATACAAAAACCGTGCCCTTCAAAATGACACACGCACGCGGACATTGCCGCATGTGTGGCGCCCTCTGTGTATGCAACCTACCTGGACCCTCAACCTACCTTTGAAAAAAGGAATCTACCCATACTTTGGAGTTGCAAACGCCTATGTTTGAGTTGGAACTTGTCCCCTTCTTTTGGTGTTGCTTTGTCAGAAAACGCCAAGAGCTTTTCTTTCACCACTCCGGGAGAAACAGCCACGGCCCTGCCAAAGAAAGAAAACGAGGCGTTTTTTCGGAAAGCAGCTCAAAACGAAAAACAACTTGGCTCCAAATCCTAAAGACTTGAGCGTTTCCAACTCGATTTTGGAGCGGGTTTCGGTTTCGCGGAGGTCGCACCCAGAGGCCTGCCATCCCCTGGCGCTTCAAGGCTCGCTTTGTGAGTTCTCGCAAACCCGGTTCCCCCTCATTAAAAGCAAGGCAAGGACCCAAATTCTAGGTCCCCCAGTGCCCTTTCACTTTTTTTTGGGGAGCTACTACAATAGACTACAGAAAAAGGGTGCCCTTGTTCAAACCTCTCTTCTGGAGGACCTAGAATTTGATGGCAATCCGTAGGCAAACGTTTTGGGTGGCTATATCAACCATTGCTTTACTGGTGGCAACTGCACGGGTAAAGGTTCCTAGGCCAAGGATTCTGGAAGTTATCGCTGCCCAAAATTACGGAAGTTTTCCACTGGTACCAGGCCGTGTCAAAGGAAGGCGTTTCCTTGGAGCCAATCAAAATTCCAAGTTCAAAAATGGGGCAAATGGGTTGCTCATGTGGAGTTTGAGGGTTCAGGTGCAGGGGGCAGTTTTCAAAACGAAGTGCTAAGCAGAAAAGCAACTTCGCATTTCTCCAAGGCACCATACCAATCAGAGGAACATCCTATAACGAAAAGAAACACCTCTAATTAGTGGCCCCTACCTGGAGTCTTCTTCTGACCCTTGAAAAATGGGTCCATGACACCATTATTTTGGGTACTGACCAACCATTTGTTAAGGGTCATGGAGACTCCAGATACTTTGAACTTTCCTTTTGGTCCTGGGCTGCTTATAAGTTTTCCCAATGGATCCCAGGCAGGCCACTATGGTAGTACCATGACTCGACCCTTTAAACATTGGGGAAAAAAACGGTCATGGCCCCATGTTTCAAGGGTGTTCCTCTTCATGTTTTCCCCCCGAGGATTTCCCCTTCCGCAGGGCGACCCTGGAACGCTTTCCTTAAAGCGGAGTCCGCTGCCACTGCACCAGAGCGTGGCAGCCTCCCCATGGCTGGCAAGCCTCCTATTGCTTGCCAGCTTCAGAGAAACCTCTCTCGAAACCCTCCCTTTTATTTCTTTGTCCCCAATATGCCTGGTCGTAGGGATCATAGTTCTCATTGGCCATATTGGCCTTCCCGCCAGAACCGCTTTTTCTGAAGGGTTTAAAGCCACCTCGTTGGGGACTGCCCTTTTTGTTTCCTGATTTTCCTTTTCCTTTTCTCTTCTTGAATCTGAAATTCCGCCCTGACACTTTTCTTGCGATGAACGCATCGTTCTCCTCGAGGACCCAGAATGTCGCCTCATCGTTGTTTGACATGAATCCTTCAAGTCGTTCTTCATCCTCAACCCAAAAGCCTTCTTCTCCTTCAACCGTCGCCAAGCAGTCCTGCAGCATCACGAAAGCTTGAGTCGGACTGCCATGCAGCCAGCCATGGAACCCCAGAGCATGAGGTCTGTCGTGGAACAGATGGGGGTCATCTTATGAAGGCCATGAAGACGATGCCCAGCTTGCCCAAGGAGGAGAAACCCAAGCCAGATTCCATCACCTGGCGCCTTGTTCTGCCATGCAGCCAGAAGGGTTGCAAATCATGGACTTTCTATCGCCCAGCTGCACCATGTGTGGCTTGTCCTGGGCCAAGAGCGCGCTTGCCGGGCCCAAGTGGTATAACCACAACTACAAATACGCGTAGTTGGGCCCCAAGGCCATGGCCCATCCACTCCATGTTTAGAGCAGCCAGTTTCAAAAGTACACTTACCACCAGTCACGCAGAGCTTTTTTGAACCCACCATTTACAGAATTGAGTGTGGGCCATGCCAACTGCAAAGCAGCCATGCCAAGGACTTGTACCATTTGCACACCCATGCATTTGCATTCCACAACCATTATCATGTCTTGACTGCCCCATTTGGCCCCCAATGAGTTGTTGAAGCTTTGGCTACCCATGCATGACTTCAGTGTGGAATTGGCTAAGCAAGCTGTTGGCTCATTGCCCCCTCCCCAAATGGATGGTGTTCTTTTTGGTTTCCTTGTAAACCAACCCAACAACGGGATACTTGAACCCTCAAACTCCCCATCAAAAAGGGATTCCCCCCACCCCCCAACAATTTCGACAATTTTGGGCTGCCAAAATTCCCATCTTTTAGCTCGGACATTGTTTTGAGCGTATCCAGCAACCCAAAAACCACAAAAAAGGACGGGCCCCCTCTCCGCGGACTCCATCCCGCCGATCGATCTTCGGCTCCTCCGCTCCCCTCGCGCGCCTCGCGCGCCTCGCGAGGCGCTGGCCTTGGAGCAGCTGGGCGAAGCGGCGGGGAACTTGGCCAAGGGCTCCTTCGCCGCCTGCGAGGCGCGGCGCGCGGGCGCGCGCTCGGCTTGCGCCGCCTCCGCGAGCGATCCGTCGGGGCTCCCGAAGGCCATCCGGTTCAACTTAGGCTTTTAGCTTAGTGTTCCGTGGCAGTTTGCATTTGAAAAAGTTAAACTGTTCGCGGGGGATCTGAGGGCAGCCCAGTTTTCACTACCAAGGTTGAAGTCTACTCTTGGGTCAAAAAGTGGAACCCTGCTTCCCTTCGGATCGGAGCGGCTCAGAGCGGAGCGCAGAGCTGCGACGCGAAATCATCCGAATTGTTTTTTGTCCCACGGCTCCATTTGCTGAAGTGGACATACCTGGAGTCTCCATGACCCTGAAAAAATGGTTGGTCATTACCCAAAATCATGGGGTCATTGACCCATTTTTCAAGGGTCAGAAGGAGACTCCAGGTAGGGCCAGACCAATTAGAGGTGTTTCTTTTGGTTGTAGGATGTTCCTCTGATTGGCATGGTGCCTTGGAGAAATGCGAAGTTGCTGTTCTGCTTAAGAAGCGCCGGCGCTTTGTTTTGGCCTTTGAGATCCGGAGGTCGGTTTTTTTCGGTCTCCCGGGCTGGAGATCTACGTGTTTTGGGTAGGCCATGGTGGCTTAGACAAGTTGAACTGGACCCGACAGAACTGCCCAGAGGACAAATTTGCCCGACAATTCTAGGGCAATACTATTTTGCAGGACAAAATTGCCCCATAATTCTGAACCAATACTATTTTGCAGTGTGTGTGTGTGTGCGCGTTGTTGCTGTTCTTCTCTGGCACGGGGGGTTAAAAAGAAACTGTTTATTGAAAGTTTTTGTTTGGGGGGGTCACGAATTTGGATACCTTATCCCGGATGAATCTTAAGCAACACATCTTCCTGACTCCTCGACATTATCTTTAAACATGGGTTACGCCCCAGCATGATGGGGTGCGTTTTCGGTTTTATGGGCAGTTCTTTCAGGTCCAGGTGGTTGAGTAGTTTTAGCACCCATTTTAGAAGCTGCCCTGTACTCATGGGTTTGGTTTCGTCCAGTCACCAGGCTTGCAGAACTCCAGCTGGACCAGAACAATTGCCGCAACATTTGTCAGCCATCAACAAATCCCCTCACAACATGTGCCAAGCCGCCTGGTGACTGGACGTGGAAGCCAAGCCCATAGGAAGTACAGGGAAGCTACTAAAAATCGGGGCGATGGCCCCATGAATTTTTGGCCGGCGTGGGGTTTTCCCGGTGGGAACAGGAGAAAATCCTCACATCTCGGAGAGGTGCGACCTCGCCCTTCGCAAAGGCTTCTTTTCTGCGGGGGCGATGGCCAGAAAACAAAAAAAAAGTTGGCAAAGACTCCTAAAACAGGGCCCCCTACCTTGGACTACCCTGGAACAAGAATAAACAACACAAGGCATGCCCGAAAAAACCAGTTGGCAAGGGTACCTTTCATGTTGGTTGTGTGGGGCACCCTTAGACTACGTCGAAGGTGGTTCAAGTCTTTGTTTTGTTTGTCTCTTGATTCAGAGGATACCTTTTCTCTTTTCTGAGCTGCCTTTTTTTCCGAAATCTAGACCCAGCCATGCCTAGTTAAGATTGGGTGGTTTTTGGGAACCATTTTACAGAAGAGAATGACGAGAATTGTGAATCAACCTTTGACAGAAGATAATGAAGAGAGTGGATAATCAGCCTTTTAGAGAAGAGAACCATTTTCTGATCTGAATGGATATATGTTTGTTCCTTGGAGCCCACGACAAAGTTGCCTGCTACGGCATAATTCCAGTTGTTGTCCGGATGTGGCTGCGTAGTGGGGTTTCCATCTTGCTCATGGAAGTGGGTTGTCAAGTTGCAACCCAACATTTTAGAATTTGTGAATTCTCTATGGCTGTGGGTCAAAACCAATGGTACCATTTTGGGGGTGCACCACCCTTTTTAGTCTATTTCAGTGGGGATTGTATCGGATGTTCACTGGGGGTACGATTTGGATTTTGACCCATGGCCATATTTTATGGGTAGTTTGAGTAGAGTTTGAGGGTCCGGGTCGTCGTTTGGGGTCCAAAAGGAGGGTCTACTCCAACGCCTGGAGGGCGGACTGCGATCGCAGGAGAGTTGCCGCAGGGTCTTAGCGCTGAACCACGGCTGGCGCCCGCGCCCTGCCTAAATCCTACCGGGGGGCGGGGGGGGTCCAGGGTTCCCTAGCTTTTGCTCGAGAAGAGTGTTCATCTCCCCTTTTTGAGTGGTTACTAGCCTCATTAACGAGACTCTGTTTCACGGTTGGTCAACCTAAACGGGGGTCTAAAACCAACTCACTTCCCGGTTCCTGGACCTTTGATAACTTTTTGGGACCATGTTAGTTTCAACTAAGCAGTTTCAACTGTTTTTGAACCATCAACTCGGGAAGTGAGTCAACCAAAAAAGCGGTACAGAGCCACACAAGACGACCCACCCAAATCAACCGATGAACCCCGTTTTGGGCCGGAGAAACGCCTCGGGAGCCGGGTCTGCCGGTGGAGTTTTTTTGAATCAAGGAGGGTACAAGGGAGAGCTTTTGGGCTCCTT